TAGCGACTCTCTGGATTAAAAAGAACCTTAAAAAAATAGCTACAGAGGCTTCTGAAAATCTTTATTTGCTTAATTAATAGGGACATAACAATGCTATTGAATTTAACACCGACAAAACTAAGATCATGCACTTCTCACAGAAAAAGAACTCAAATAACCCTCTAGTCTGCCACTAGATAATGAACAAAATAGCCAAGGTTTCTATGCGATGACTAGGTATCTTTCTGGATAGAAAACTAAACTTTAAAGATCACGTTTCCTACGGGGCCAAGAAAGCTAATAAGGTAGCAAATCACCTTCGAGGACTATGCAACACAGTCAAAAGACTTCAAGTAAAGTCGACCAGGAGGGCTGTGAAAGTTTGTGTTATTCCTATTCTTACACATGGCTTGGAGACCTGGTACCCAGGAACCAAAAAAAATCAGGAGCTCAGGTGGGACATCAGCATATCGTATTAAAGGGTTTCTTAAAACGATAGATGCTGTATTACGAACGGCGATCAGGGCTATCCTGCCGGTTTGGAAAACACATCCTAGACATATCCTATACTTTGAATCACAGATTCCCCCAGCAGGAGTTCTTGCAGAGTCAATAAGGCGATGTCACGGCCTATGACTCGGACAAATAGACCAGAGATACCCTCTTGTTGGCAGGCTCTAAGTACAAGCTCGCAAGGAACCAACAAGGCTACAAAGGAGCTTTCAGCTAGTCCCTGACTTCTAGAGACCAATACTCACCAAGCCATCATGGAAGAAGCCCCCAATCCGTAAGGATAAATACAAAAAAATAGAGCTCTTTAAGAAATGGTTACAGGAGAGAAATGTGAACATTGACCTTGTCATCTATTCAGATGGATCACAATTGGACGACCAAGGCACAACCCGCACTGGATGGGGCTATACCATCAGGAAAGGCGGCACTACACAAGAAGTATACCGGGAAAGGGGCAGACTTCTACAAGCAGAAGTAGTGGATGCTGAAGTCCATGGTGCTCTCCAAGGTTTTGCAGCAGCCAGGGCAATTGGACACAGAAAACGGCTATATGTCTGCCTGGACAACACATCAGTGGTGGATGGGCTCAATGGGACTCCACCCGAGACATCACAGAAAATTTTTCTGCGATTTCAAGAACTTGCCACAGGACACACTCCTGGAGTGACCATCAAGTGGATTCCTGGACACAGAGATATTAATGGCAACGAAGCTGCCGACACACTAACAAAAAAGGGTGCCATGCTAGAAACAGACATAACAAACCTTCCTATAATCTCTTAGGTCAAGAGAGATCTTAAGAGAAAGGGCAAGAAAGAGTTCAACCAATGGTAGAAAGACCAATCAGAACCTAGGTATTATGAAGTATACTCACATGCAGTAACTGAAAAAGGCCTTATATCTTTTAAGAGGAGCACTCTACACAGACTTCTAGCGGCCAGATCTGGACATGGCAACTTTGCCAGATACCACGTACGCTTTGGACATACAGACTTGAACAACCACTGCAGCTGTGGTGAAAAGAAAACACCACAACATATTTTCTTTTGTAAGAGGCTAGGAAAAAATCGCTTGTTGCCTAAGTACTCGCCTAGGACAACCTGTTTACAATACTTAGGGGAGAGGAGCACAGAATGGGCAAAATTCGTGGAGAAGAGCAAGTTCTTTTCAACAATCTGTCCCCGATAGATAGCTGTTCTTGAAGGACCAGATGGATGACCCTAAGGTCATACCGCCGCAACAACGGGATGGGCCCGTGAGCGGGACTGACTGTACTTATTTTCTTGAGACCTCTACAACCCTGCAATGCAGAGGCTCTAGGAGGCGTGGTTCGCACTACCGAGGAGCAACACCCCACGTTAAATACAAAACAAACAAACAAACCCATGGGCCGCGGCAGCGGCAGCGGCACTGGCTGACGGGCAGACTTCTGGATTACCCTTGTTTGGCGAGTATGGTGGGGGGTCGTCGGTCGCGTCTTGTTGAGTTGGATGGTTGGAGGCACTGGGAGTATTCCTGGCCGAGATCTGGGGCTCAGCGGGAATGCGGCGCTGCGTTCCAAGGCGCCGGGTTCTATGGCGCCGAAACCAAGAACGGAAACGTCACGGCATTGTGTTTGCTCGGATATGCTGGGTAATGAATGGGAGGAAGATGGAAGAGACGATGTGTATCTGTCTATGATGGTGTGTGTTAGAAGTGTGTCAGAGTGTGGGAGTGTATATTGTGTGTGTTTGGGGGATCATGGGTTGATGGGTTTGGGTACGGGGTTATTTATAGTTAAACGATTAGGTTGTGGAGGAAGGGGTCTATTTCTCTTGGTTTTAGGTTTGCCCTTCTACGCCAAAGGAGCATATACTATCCTGCTCACAAAATACCCTCTAACCTCTAAAAGACCGGTTACGGGAGAAGGTAGAAAGCATCGCTGGCAGTCTTTCCATACTGTTGGGCTTCTCCATTAACTGTTGGACTAACCCTGCACTCGAGCCCCGTGCGCTGGTCGGTTGCAGCAGACAGGAAAATAGCTGTTAGATATCGCCGCCTTCAAGCCTGCTAACGTCAAGCCTTCCAAGTCGCGTTGAGGTGCCAAAATATATTACCAGCAAGTGACCATGATATTTCACGAATGGCAGTGATTTGATATCGGGAGTGTGGTAAGATCAGTAGAGACAAGAGCTAGTCGGAACAGCGGAAGTACATTTGTGTAGGTACTTACCTTGGTAGGTACAATGCGTGGACAAAAGTCTCCGCCCGATCCCCAATTTTACCCCTTCCATCTACTATACCCTCCAACTCAATTGAACCATAACGCATCCAATTCTGGTGATAGAATTCTCAAATAAATTGTATTTAATAACCAAGTCAATAGTGTGTATACCAATCACCGGCGCGCCTCACTGCAGCTATTCGGTCCTCCAGTGACTCCATCAAGGCCCGGACCTGCTCCGGATCGATCTCTTACCACGCCTGCTCAATTAACTCGTGTGCGTAGCGATAATGGGGGATATTATCCTTCAATTCAGAAAATTCAGGCTCGATTTCACGTATGTTCTTCTTCAGAAGTCGCCAAACGTGCTCGATTGGGTTCATATTGGGGCTGTGAGGAGGCCAGTCGATACAATGGATGCCGTGCTCCTCCATCCACTCCGGAACACCGCAAGTGAGGTGAATTTTCGCGTTATCTTGAACAAAAGGATCTCCAGCCTCATAAAACGGAAGCAGGCCTTTCTCAAGAACCCATTTATATGACTCTGCGGATACTCCTCCGCGCGGAGCATCCGGATCGAGTGGGCAGAAGACCAACTTGCCTAGTCCTCCTTCTCTGCCGCGTAGCCAGATCATAGACCACACCATTATCGAAATACGAGATTTGCCGTGATCCGTCTCGTTCACGAGATCATAACGGTACCGCTTTGAAGAGAATCGGATGGCCCAATTGCCTGGATTATCGGATGAGTTTTGGACCGTACATTCGTCTGAGAACATAGCTCGCAACAACTCCTCCAGACGCTCGGGTGTGCTATAATAATTGACAAAAGCGAGCCTCTTCTGAGCGTCCTCATCTGTGAGCTTGATTCGCTTTGCTGTGCGCCACTTTGGAGGCCGTGTGCGTGACATATCCTCTTAATAGTCTTAGGAGAGCACGAAACGCAGGCTTCGTTTCGAATCTTCTGCCACGTCGCCCTGGTGAGCTCTCTCGCCTTTTTGATCACATGAGCGCGTTTGCGAGTATTCAAAACGGGTGGGCGACCGCTCCTTGGGGCAGATTTTGGTGTAGAAATGGCCTCAAAGTTGGTGATAATATCAGAGATAGTTTTCAAATGCTTCGTTTTAAACGTAGTTGCAACATCCCTATGCGTTCTGCCGTCAATTCGCGCCACCACGATTGCTGAGCGAGCTTTTGAAGTGAATTCGCCGTTAGCGACGCGATTACCGCTTAATTCGTCCCTAAAAGATCGTAAATCCATTATCAATTGCGGTGTTGAGAGAGTGGTGAAGTCGAAGGGTGATTGACGCGTTGTTTTGATCTGAAGGAGATTGTGGTGGGTCGGGCAGAGACTTTTGTCCACCCAGTTTACTCAATTGAGTCAATGGCAGGCAGTAATTACAATGACTAGGTACAGGAAAGTATCATGGGAAAGAGCATGCACCTAATGAATCTGTCTACTTGCACTGAACCCTTATAAGTCTCTGTCCGCGCACCCCAAAAGTGTTCTTTTCGATGGGATATATGGACGGTAGAATAAGCGCCCTGGAATAAGATGTTATACTCTATTAAGCCACATTTAATGCTTATTCCAGAGTGGATATTCCACAGAGTGTACATAGACCTGAATATCGAAGAACTTGTGCGTACGGGATGTACGGAGACTTCTGAGGGTTCAGTGTACCTGGCGGCTGAGACAAAAGGGGTCAACTGTAGCTCCTACCTCTGTTTAAGAGCGGCACCCACAGCGAAGACTTCCTGAGTGTAAGGGATCTAGTAAGCTGGTAAGGTGAATATGACATGACTCTTATGGTTAAGGTAGTCGCTTGTGCTTAACTCAGGGGGCAGCCTTCAAGTTTGAGAGCGGACTGACCTCCAGTATGCACAGTGATGATGGTCTGCTTGGAAGTTGACGTGTCAAGTCAGGATATAACTTGAATGAAGCCAGACGAGGCTTATTGTTTTGACATTGAGTGTCTATGAAAAAGTGACTGTCAGCATTCGATGGCTGGCAGCATAGAGGCCTTCCTTGGGTTGTGTAATAGGGGAGAGGATTTGGCTGACATCTGCGCACCAGGTGGGTTGCGGCCGGGCGGCTGGCAATTAAAGCCAGCCACACTTCAGTGGGGCGGACGTGGCGTGACCTTGACGCGTCTCAACATGCCCTCTCATCGGGAAGCAACACTCGCTGCAGGTGGTGGGCATAACCCGACGTCACCCAACGACCGAAGACCGAGAAGCACTGAATTGCTTCAGACCATGATCCTCGCGCTCCGGGATCAGTAGAGCCCTCGAACTCGGCACCATGGCCACCAGTCAGTCCACAATCTCCATGTCGGGTACTGTGGCTAATCAATATCATAGGTCGTGAGGAACGCATGCAGCAGCGCATGCGTGGAGCTGGGTAAGACCATTGCACAACCTTTGCGCGTCTCTTCTGACACATTAAACGCAGACTCCATGAAGCCGCCGATGACTCATTCGGGCTCTTTTCCCCTGCTGCCGAACCATCGTCCGACGTTCCGATACTTTCATCCCAAGTGCGATCGGAACCAAATACTTCTGCGAAGCGACGACGATTGAGCCGACAGTCGGACTCTAGGAGCTCGCAACCGACATCAAGCGCGTCGAGGGCGTCGGCGCGACTCAGTGCACAGAAACCGGACCCATATAACATCCTCGAAGAGGAGAGCACGGGGAATGCTCTACGACCACCCAGCCCGAGCCCGTTGGATGCAGAAATGCAAGATGCAGATAGTACATTGGAGTCGGTGCAAGCTGTGGTTGAACGACCGGTCTCTCGAAGTTCGATAGCCTCGCGGATGTCTGGTGGTGGAATGGCAGAAGAAGTCACGGAGAGTCCGGCCGCAGCTCCTGGCAGTGGCCACAGGCGTAGGATTAGGGTGTCCAGTGCTGCAACCCAGAGCGCAAAGCTACAAAGAGCAGTCATGGAACAGGATGCCGGAGCTACTGGTGAATTCACGACATCATCACCACTGGCACGAAAGATCAGGCTAAGTGGCACCACAACACCGGGCGCTGTATCGGTGCCATCGGCCGAACCAAGCGCGGCACAGACAATGGTTTCTCCGAGTGAGGCGCTGGAAGGATCATCACCTCTGGCCCGCCGGTCGCGGCAAAGCGGCAGCACAGCCACCACGGGATCTGCGCGATCGACTCGAAGTCAGAACCGGCGAAGCAACCTCAGCACCGTTGTGGATCCGACCCCCGAGCTTTCCTCGCCTCCGGATGCTGCAGGTACTGTTAGCACCAGGAGACCTCAGCCAAAGCTGAAGGACATGATATCGCAACCGAAGGTTAAGAAGTTTGTCCCCACACCTGAGCCGCAGCAAGCTCTGGAGGAAGAGCAGGAAGAGGAGGGGGAGGGGGACGGGGAAGAGCAAGCACTGGCGGATGACAAGGAAGCGGAGGAGATTGATGTACATGAAGCCGCACGCCGGATTGGCCGTAAACGACCCCGAGTCAGTCCCGTGCGAGAAGAATCGCCCGAGTTACATTCACAGCAGGTCAAAAAGATACGTCCGGTCAAGAAGGCTCGAGCGGAACGTGCGCAAGACAGCCCAGCGAAGCAGTCGCAACCCAAGGCTCCGAAGGGCAAGAAGCGTGCATCATCAAGAAGGCAAAGTGACAGGGAAGGTATCCCTATCACTGTGTACAGATACACAAAGCTCCCGCGGCTCAACGAAGAGGATACCGACGAAGACATCCTCAACGCGGACATCCCATATTCGAATAGTCGCGGTGTCAGCGTGGTCAACGTGCTGCACGATATATGCGATGAAACCCTCGAGAAAGGTATAGATGAACTCAATGCGGCATTGGCCAGTGCAGAAGACGCTGCCACAAGGACGGAGTTTAGGACGAAGCTTCGAGCTTTGGAAGCATTTAGAGGGGAAATGGGTCTAAGACTCGAGGAGCATGTGGGTGCCCTTACCGGACCATCTACAACTGTCAGACATGGAACTGATGGATCTAGGGAGCACAACTGGACAATATGCACGCGCTGCAGAAGCGGGTACGAGCGGCTCAAAGAGAGAAAGTTGCACTTCGGACCGAAATACTGCGCATCCGTACCGAGAGGGAGCAGGTAGCCCTAAAAATGGATGCGGTGAGGGTCCGTCATGAGACGGCCAACAAGGAGATGCTAGTAAGTCGGTCAGAATCATGACTAATAACGGCGAGCTTCCGCTAACGGTAGGGTCAGCACCAGCTAGGGCTGTCGTCCACCATGGACGACATCGAACTGGCGATTGAGACGGGCAAGGTAGCGCCAGACCCGAGTCCGAGCGAGCAAAAGGCGGCCGAATTGGCCAACCTTGAGCTCCTGATATGCAGAGTGGCTGGACAGGCCAGCGCCGCCGGTGACGGAGGGGGCAACTTGAAGCAGATCAAAGACTTCAATGCTTTTCTTGAGCGTGCCGCTGTTGCTCTAGAGGGCAGATAAGGGGGTTGGTTATCTGCATGCAGAGGTGGATGGATGAACGAACTGTAATGAAGTCATGATATGCGTACCTTCCCAGGGGTTTGAAGAAAGCGAACGCGACGACTGTATGATGATCGTATTAAAATGGGTGCCGACTCCCGAGGGTGTTTTGTACGCAGTCGGGCGGGACGGGGTATGCCCGACCGTGGCTCTGTGCCGGGCGCCGGGCGTAATAGGAAAGCCCGGGCTATCCTGGATTCCCTTTGGCCTTTGTTTGCAAACCTCCAGGGCTGACTACAATGTTCGTATCACAGTCAGTATTGCACCTACAGTATGAATACAGTCACATGGCAGGCTTAAAGGCTGTCCAACTTGTGAGCCAGTGCCGTGGCACGTGCTAGCCGATGAGGTGGGATCCATTTGCGCTGGACCCTGATGTGCGACGTTGCATTTCCATCGGTCTAGAACCTCAACCCAATCTGGCAACATTGCCTCGTAGGGCTGCAGTCGAGCCTTGGCCATTCATCAGAAACTCTTGAATACGAGATATTCTTCGTTCCTGTACTATATACGAAAAACGCAGCAATGTTCTGTCTGCCCTACGGCATTCTTCATTCTTCGCAGCGGCAGGAGCTGAGCCGCCGGCATAGCCCATATTGGGATCGCGACGAAATGATACAAGTTAACAACGACTGGCCCGCGCCGCCATTCCAGGGGAAAACTCCTCGTGTCTGGCTTCGTCCCTGTCTGCGAACACCTTCCGATAAACATTCACTCTATACCACGACGTCGCCGAAAGACAAGACACCCGCTTCCAAGCCGCCATCATGAGCAAACACGACTACCCCTACAAGCGCTCCGTGAACGTCACCGCCTGGGTCCTCCAGATCATCGTCTGCATCATTCTGCTCGGCTCCTCAGCATGGCTGCTGTTCATTGTGGAGTCGGACGACTACGACACCGTCATTGCCAAATATGAAGGGCTCCTCACGTAAGAAAGAAAGACTGTACGGAATGATCTGTAACCGACACGCGCAACCCACACACAGTGCTGCCGCCGGCCTGCAGATCGCCCTCACCGCCCTCACCATCGTCCTCGACATCGTCGAGATCGTCCTGATCGCCCGCCAGAGCATGCCGCCGCAGCTTATCTGGCGTCGGCGTGTGTCAAGACTACGATCTGGGGCGTTGTCTTCATCATAAACCTCTTCGCCATCTCCGTCCTTTCCATCATCCCAACCGCCATTCTCCTGTCAGTAATCACTCACTCCAACCACCTACCTATCTCTGCCGGCCTTTTTGTTTTCCTACCTGCCTCGCTTAATCAAATCAAAGTCGCGAAAACTAAAGACTAACACGCTATTTTGTTGTTATAGGTCCACCTCCCTCTCGCAGCTCATCTACAGCGCGCGCCTCGTCCACGCCAAGCGCAAGGGCACGCTGACGGCCGGCCGATACGCGCCCGCGCATATCCAGGACATGCCTGCGCGCAACGTCCACAGCGACATCGAGACTGGCTACGGCGGCAGCGCGGTGCCGCCGGTCCAAGCGTACAACGCGGGCTACTATGGCGCCCCCGACGCCGGCCTCGGTAATGCCGGATACAAGCCGTCAGCCTCGCCCGAACCGCCGCAATATGGGAGCGGGTATGGACAAGGACATGGGCATAACTCTTACGAGCTTGATAACCGGCACTGAGGTGAGTTTGGGCTGAGTTGATGGAGGGAGGAGTCTGGGATAATGGAAGACTTGTTCGCTATCGGCAATGGCTGCGGCTGCGGCTGCGGATAATGTCGCAGGGACCTGACGGATGAAGGACGGCTGCGATGTATGAATGATAACCCCACGTATAGGAATAGTACCAAATGCCGCGTGTCGTATCCACAAGCTAAGGTATGCCGGCGTGGTCTGGGCTGGCGAGGAGTCGCCGAGTCTGGTGCCGAGCTAAGCCTCCTAATTCGTACTCTAGTCGTTCACTGTAAAGCCTCGGTTTCTTCAAGATGTTCTCATCTGAATTGGCGGGAAGCAGAGTAGGCCTATCGCTCCAGTCTAGAGCTGATAGCCATCAATGTATGCTGGGGCTTCTTTCAAAGCTGGCCTTCTCACTACTTCAGACCATCGATTGTGTTTATTACGGAGCACGAATGGCCTGGAGCAATATCAGATATATACCTACTAGTAGATCTGTCATGTTATTGAATAGGTAGGTAGGTAACCAAAGCAGTGAATCTATGCTGGTACTTCCAGGTGGCAGGAACTTGATGGGAGCAGGCTTCATACCACTGACACCAGAAATAGCTTGTCATATTCTCCCCCGCTCTCCACCAACGGCTTTGACCGCTCAATCAGGGTATCAACTTTCAAGACGATGCTGTTGGATCAGCAGGGTCCAGGAGTCAGGACCCTTGCAGACATAGCCACGCGATGATATGATTGGATACTACAGAATCTCCAGCTTCCAACCGCCAACCTGGGCTGCCCTGAAGCGACACATGCAGGTGCTGATTATCGGGGTTCTTTTTCCTCTCCCAGAGTCCCAGCAATCACAGTCGTGGACTCAAGCTTTGTTGTTTGCATGAGGCCGCCTGTCATCCGTGAATCTCAAGCCAGCACCTGCCTGGTGACTTGGGCTACTGTGGTAGGAGCAGGAGCAGGAGCAGGATGAGTGTTTCATGTCGTGTGGAAGTCACCGCCCATCTGGCCCATGCCCTCAGAGAGGCTTGGACCCCTTGTCTGGCGGTGCAGGTGCAGCGGCAGGCGCATCCCACACAGCCCCTGCCGATATACCCGTTCGACAGATAAAGGCCTCTCCCCCCCCACCTCTCCGTTTCTGATGTCCCCCGATTCTGTCCCTGACTATTTGCATCTACTCAACTTGTATTCACGATACTCCCGTCGACCAAATCTACTACTGTCCCAAGATTCCAGCCTCTTGAAGCATCACCAGCCATCATCATGCCTGCCCCTCAGGAACCCATGCAGCAAGCCCCCATGGAGATGACCTCCTCGACCGGCGTCGTGTCCCAGCAGCCGGCGAGTCCTTTCCGTCCTCTACGCTTCATGCCCAATCTGCCTCCCACCCATTCTACCTTTCGCTACACTCGTAGACCATGAACATATCATCGCGATGACAACGTCCTTTGACTGACTCCTTCTTTATATTATATAGGCCATGGAACCCCAACCCGACATGAACCTCCGCGGCGGTGAGGAAGCCGGCTGCGAGATCTGCTGCGGCCTCTGCGCCTGTGACGAAGGCTGTTGCTAGAGGAAGTTCGGTCCACTGTCGTATATCACCTGCCGCAGCTGTCGACGTTGCTCCTGACGACCGCCGAGTTCCCCCCCACTCCATACGACAAGACACTGTGGTCAGATGCGGCCGTCACAAGACCTGGACAACATCCTCGTCGCTTAAACCCGGATCTGGTATGGGGCATCGGTGGCTAGGCGACCGGCTCGTTCGTTGTTCAGCGTGGAGTAATGCTATCGCTATGATTGAGGATGCGCGCTGTTATTAGAGACATTAGCGATGGTAGCGTTTCGAGCGGATGGTCGGCCAATAGAAGATCGGGATTGTCTTTGGTTCAAACCTTCGCGCGTCGGCTCATGTTTCTTCCCATTTGCCATCGCTCGACTTTCGAGTATGTCGATCTCGCCCATTGTGATCCGGCTTTGACACTGCCCTCTGCCTGCCGTTTCCTTCTCCGAAAGGGACTGACTTCCTCGATAAAGAGAGCCATCTGCGAAGGCCGTATCGCCGTCTTGTCCGTGTCTGCCCTCCAGCTGCGAAGATGTCGTTGGACGCACAAGCACGGTCCGCTCCGGTGCAGTTAAGCATTCGCCTCATTTCTTGGCGATCCCTTGGCTCTTGGCTCTTGGCGACCGCTCTTGGTGGTTTTGCTGATCTGTGTCCATACTGCCAAGCAATACGACCGAAAAGCCTCGGCCCAAACAACAGGCAGCTCTTGGATGTGTTCAACGAGGTCAGAGAACGGACATGTCGCAGTTGGATAGGAAAGCAGGCACTTTTGGCGGCTGTCGCAGTATATCAGTCCTGGAGCTGTCACCCCAAGCCCTGATGATGATATAATTCCCGTTATCCCCATCGTGTATCAGAACGGTCTTGCCGGCGAGGCAAGATAAGACTCTGTTGGCTGAACGTAGTGGAAAGTCCACTGCTTTGTATGTACATTTTGATATATTCCCCTTCATAGTCGCTTTTCCACTGCGAGGCATGATGCGCCTATCACAGATACACAAGTATAGTACACCCATCGGGAGAATTGCAATCGACACTGCTCATCGACGGTTGCCCGGTACGCCTGAAGGCATCTCGTGGACCTGGGCCATTCCGTGTCAATGCATCGACAAACCCCGATTCCAAGACAGGGAGGGAAGCATGCCGGGCTCTGAAAGCCCCCGACCTCGCACTCTGGTCGACAGCCCGAAGAAACGGAGTAGTACCGTCTTACTTCTTAGAGTCACCAGTGCCAAAGGCTCCAGCAACCTTATCCCACATAGTCGCCTCGCCCCTCTCCTTCCTCTCCTTTCGCTCCAGCTCCTGCTGTTTCCATAAACCCTTTACCCTCGACGCGACCTCGGCCTTCGCACGCATCTCGGCCCTGACGGCCTCCTCCTCGGCCGCCCGGTCTTCCTCCGAGACCTTCTCCAGCCTGAACTTGAGCGTCTCCTGCTGCTCCGGCGTCAATTCTAGTGGTGGATCTGGTGTAGCTACGGCGGCGCTGGCGGGCGCCTTCGGCATGACGGGCGAGAACTTGGGTATCGGGCGCCCTTCCTTCTTCGCGGCCTCGATCTCGGCGTCTTGCGCCATCATCCGCTGGTATAGCGCGTCGGCGTGCATCTGGATGTCTTCTTCGACTTCGGGCGAGCGATCGACGGTTGAGAGGTAGCCTAGGGCTTTTAGTAGTCTCTGTAGAGCCGCCAGTAGTCAGCTTTCTGCTTGCAGATCCATCCGTTTCACGGACGGACGTGTAAACCAGGGGGCAGATATGAAAAACTTACAGTCTGCGTCATATAACACCGCTCGAACTTCTTGATCTGGGAGCGACACATGGTCATGCGGTCCGCGAAGCTGGGATTCGACATGCACGAGCGCCAGTCGACCTGCTCGAGGGCGCAGTTCTCGAGCGCCGCCTTGCCGATCTGGTTCTTACGGTCCTTGTAGCCCTCCAACACGTCCATCAGCTTCTCGTGGTCGCTCTTGGTCTCGGCCTCGATCTCGGCGAGTGGCTTGTACGTCTTCCACAGGTGCGCGTAGCGGCCATCTTGGAACTGGCTCTCCCTCGGCACTGCGGGATGTCCCTTGTCGTCTTCTGCTGTTGCTGCTTCTGCCGCCGCAGATTCTGCTGCTGCGCTCTTTGCTGCTGCTGCCGACTTCGCGGCCGGCTGGAGTGGTGGTGCGGATTGTGCTGCTGGTGGTTGTGGTTGTTGCGAGGAGCTGTACTTCACGGGCGACTCCTTCTCGAGGAACTCGCGGAGCTTGGGGTCGAGCTTTCGCAGCGGGTCGTCGGCGCTCGAGCTCGAGGCCCAGAGACTACTCCACCAACTCATGAGTTAGTACCCTGTGAATGTAATTTGCGATTGAAGTTCAAGCGGCTCCTTGGATTCGCGACTGGCAAGACCTCCTTCACGAGCTCGAAAAGTCGGGATAATGATGGTAAGAGCGATGCGACTTATCGATAGTCTCGTAAGCTAGATTATGCTTGTATGGAGAATGCCGCTTGTCATCTTCACATCTGGACTTCTAGATTCAGCTTCTATTGCATACATAGAGCCCAACATTCCGGGACGAAGAGATCAGCATCTTAGTGTCCCCTCTTTCTCATCTTCTTGTTTCTGAATGCTGCGCGGATGATCAATCCATGGTCGAGGCCTGGCTTATGGCCCCTGGGTAACTTCGTGGATACGCGTGCACCACGAGTTGTTCTCCTATAAGGTAAAGAGAGATCAATAGTGCTTCAAGAACCGATCTCCCAGTGTGCATTATGGGAGTCCTTAATGTCCTAGTCTTGATCTCTCTCACCATTGTCTATGGAAGCCGCCTTGTTTAACGGTGCTGTCGTGAGCTTAGCTGATCTCCATAGCCGAGACGACCTCGTTGTCAGGGTGGCGTAAAATTTCGTTGTGAAGAAATGGCCTTCTTTGGGCTGAGAGTAGGTAAGTAAGCATGGATAGCATGGTTGAACGAATCTTTGAGCATAGCTTGGACTATTCACGTTCATCCGACAATGTTGCTGAAGCGCAATATGCAACCCGAAGACTTCGAGACCCTTCATGGGTGAGGTCATATCGGGTATGAATGCTAGCAAATTTGCATTTGGCAGTAGCCCCTGAATACATCCCCAGTCGGTGGTCCATGGTGGGATGCAACGAGCATTATACAAGTCATACATGACGAATGGCTGGTTGGCGGGCGAGAGAACTCTGGGTTGTAGGCAGTCTTCGAGTCAGTATGTAGCGATAGCCAACCCCATCGCACCATATCAGAAATAAACTATATAGTCCCGTTTTGCAGTCACAGCTTAGTGTTGGTCGTGTCCGGGTACGAAGATGAGCATGCTTCCTCATACAAATCCACGGTTTCAACACATCCGAGCCCGGGTGAAGAACACCGATAACCATGGAGGCCGGTCCCCCAAGCCCGCAGATATTTCGAGATTGCACCCATTTTCATGATCCGCAATCACTTCAGGGCCGTGAGATGATGTTGGTAATCTCATTTCATTTCTCAGAACTACCGGTATGGCATCTCTGTGCCGTGGCTATAGCCTATGAACCGCCCTTTCCGAATCGGAGATCATGAGTAACCGTGAAGCAACAACGCCATCGATGCCCCGAAGAGTCCTTAATCTAGAACTTGGAGAACTTCTTGACCGCCTTGCCAGTTCGGGGAAGTACACGGAGGACGTTGAATCGGACCTATCGCGTCGGTGTTAGCTTATCGAAACCCCTCTTCGTATGGTAGGCTGCAAGCCTAGACTTGGTCAAACATACAGTCTTGCTCAGAGGTCTGCACTGGCCAACGGTGACCTGGTCACCCTCCTCAACACGGAATGCGGGCGAGACGTGCGCGGCAACGTTCTTGTGTCGCTTCTCGTATCGGGCGTACTTGGGGATGAAGTGGAGGTACTCGCGGCGGATGATGATCGTTCGGTGCATCTTGGTCGAGACAACGGTGCCGGTCAGGATACGGCCACGGATGGAGACGAGACCGGTGAAGGGGCACTTCTTGTCTACACGCGCAATAGTCAGCCCCTCATTCAATCCGCACCATCTTCTGGTTCGTTTCCTTCTCTCGACGCCTGCAGTTGCATTCTGGTTTTTCGATGCTCAATGGTGTTCTTCGAGTTCGTCACGCCGTCCGCTGCAGCCCGATGTCCTGTGCCATGTCCCAAGAAATCGCATGTCTTCACGTACCGATGTAGCTACCCTCGATGGCGGTCTTGGGGGTTCGGAAACCCAGACCAACGTCCTTGTACCATCTTCGGCCACCCTATATCAAAGATGTGTGAGCGATGGTCATGTCGTCGCGGCGGGAGGGAGCCGGCTCACCTTGCCAGGGCGCGTGGACTTGGCCTTGGTCTTGGAGTTCTGGAAGATATGGGGCTGCTTCTGGAAAGCACGCTCCGACTGAACAGTCAATTCCGTCGCCATGTTTGCGATTGCGTTGTCGAGGTCGCAAAGGGAAGGGTTGGGCCGGTATCGTGGTGGGTTGCTTGTTGAAGTTCGCGGTAGTGTGATGCGAAAACACAGGCCCAAGTCAGAATTGGAGGTGTGCAAAAATCTCGGTTCTGTGGGCACAAAATTCGCTTGGTTTGGATGCGGGCCAACTGTGGCTGAGCGCACGTAGTACCTTCAGCCCCGCGGCCAGAATGTGTGGCTGAAAGAGGTCGGCACATGCAGCCAGCTAGAGCTTGGACCGCCGTTCGTTATCTCAAGTGGGGGCGATTCGGTCACTGGCAACCTCCCGCATGTTTACAAACAAGGGCCCCAGTCACGACGCGATCATCACCAAGCCCAACGATTTGCATGCGACTGACTTTGACAACAAATCCTTTCTTTGAATACCCGGTTCCCCATCTGTCGTATTGCTTCCCATGATAACTGGCTTCTTTTTGGCACATGAAGTCAGAACCTACAACTATTGAGCCCTGAACACGCTATGCGACACGCTCTTGTCTAAGTGGCACCACGGATCGCGGCTTTACGTCTTGCTCCATTGGACGCGATACCTCTCGAGACACTGCTCACGCCGCTCGTAGCCAACATGGCCAGTCGCGTTGACTCGACTATGCCGTCTACAAGGCGACCGCGCAAGTCGACTGGTCATTCGCCAGTGAGAAAGAGAATGGAGAAAGAAAACATCACCGTGGACGTGGCTAGCACTTTGGCTGGTAATGGAGGCCGAAAGAAGTCACGGAGCAAGAGTGTGGGACCTGGCGGCTTGGACATTCTGAAGTCTGGCTCTGGCAACCGACGCGTGGTATGATGACGATCGTATCCTGACGGCGTGGTCGGTAGACTAACTTAAATCCTCATAGTCGATGGCCGCGCCGGTGAAACCTCCACCAAGATCAATCCTCAAGCCGACGATCCCCCCCTTGCCAGAAATACCTCCTCATAAGCCCAAATTCTCTGTTCGAAGATCACTGACGTTGGAGGTTCAGGGAGGCGAAAAGCTGTCGAATCCCTTTCAGAATGACGACTCATCGTCGTCGGGCACCAAAATCGCGCTTCGTACCGAGGAGGAACAACAAGCTGCTGCGCGTGAACGTGAAGAGCGAGAGAGGGCGGCGCTGGAGAAGGAGATCAAGGATCGACGCGAAGCTCGGAGGAAGTCTCTGGCAAACCGACGCGTATCGTTTGCGGCAGAGGCAACACTGCACACTTTTCACGAAATCGAGTATATGCAAGACTCGACAACCTCGACAGATTCCACAAGAAGAGCGTCGTCGTTGGCAGCGCAATCACCGGCTGTCCCAGATTCAAACGCGCAACCATCTGATCCACCGTCAACTCCGCCCGAGCAAGTCGAAGACATTGTTCCGGATTCGCCAGAACACCAAAGAGACCTGCATCAGAAGAAGCGGCGAAGGAGCTCCGTTTCGGCTCCACTGGAGTACAACAACCCTGATGACCTGACTCTCGCCTCGAGTGTCTATAGTTCAGACTCTGATGGCGCAGACGGCGTCATCGAGGCAGAGGTTGGATCAGACTCTGGCAGCGATTCAGATGCTGACGGCGTGTCAATGGATCTCGATGTCGATGAGATGACAGGCACGTCTATGGCGTCTGCCATGTCAGCTCGTTCCGGCTTCACTGAAGACTCGAACGACACGTTGGACGGCGCCCTCAGACTTGCCACTCGGAGGGCAGAGACCCAACAGTTAGACGAGGAAGAAGAGATCATCCCTTCGTTTGCTTGGGCGAAGAAACCAGCACCGAAGCAAGCAAGTCCAGCACGGGACCAGGAAAGCGTAGCAAATGGATTCAATGGTGGTGATGACGAAGACAGCGACGAGGACGACATGGAAATGGACATGGATATGACGAGTGCGGTTGGCGGTATCATCGAAGCCAGGGACGACTCCCAGGATGATATCCAGGAAGAGGAAATGTCAATGGACGTCACCCGAGCTTTGGGTGGTATTCTCCCTCAGCGCACCAAGCAGATGGTTGCGCAATCAGCCAGCCTAGAAAGCCCGGGAGACGGCTCCTTGATGGAGGACAGCACTATGGACCTCACTAGGGCGATTGGTGTTATTCGGAAAACCTCGCAACCCGAAAATGATCTGATCGAGTATGAGGAGGACGAAGATATGTCGATGGAACTCACCACCATTATGGGTGGCGTTTTGCCAACGAGCAAACCGAATCCTGTGAAGCGTAGACCACTGGGCCGGCGCCGCACAATGGCTGGCGATGATGAGGCTACCATGGACATGACAGTTGGTTTGGGTCGCATTCTCCCACCCGATCAAGATGACGGTGAGGATGAAGACGCCACGATGGGAATGGAGATGACTATGGCGATGGGTGGTATCATCAAAGGGCCATCTCCTTTGAAGGACCGCACTCAGGCCAAGCAGCTTATGGAGCTGGAAGCCGATAATGCTGGCAGCACTCCCGTGCTGAGCTCCCCCACGAAGAGACGCCTTTGCGATGTTTTTGGTACAACAAATACCTCGGAGGCTGGCAGCCCTGGCTTGTCCGCTTTCAAAGGCAATGGGCTTCGTCGCAGTCAAAATTGGCGAGCCCCAGGAAGCTCTCAAGGTAAATCACCAGCTCGAAATACATCAGCATCCAAGTCTGCCACTCCCAGGCAGGCAGCGACACCAACGACGCCGCGTCAGTCCAGCCCGTTGAGAACACCACAACAGTCCAGCCCATTGAAGACGCCTCAACAGTCAAGTCCATTAAAGACGCCGCTCTCGAGTAAGCGCAAGGGGGGACGCCCTGGCTCTCCCCAGCGGCCAAGTCCAGACAGGCCATCGACTACCCCTGAATCAGCTACCCACCCTACCCCCAAGACATCAATCTTTCAACAAGATCCCTCCACTGGTGTGGCAACACCGCAGGTTGTCTTGACTCCTCAAACCCGACGACTTTCCGGCGTCGGCGCCGATAGACCAGGTCTTGGATCTCCCAAGATTGCGGCGATTCTTGAGCGACGTGCCTCCATCAGTCAATCAGCACATGAGTTTGTTCCTCAACATGGTCCCAGAGTCGTCAAATTCGCGGACCCTCGGGCCATGGAGGCAGAAGTGGACAAGGATCTTCAACGGGAGATTGACAAGGAAAGCGGGCGCAAGATCCTAGAGAGAGAAGCTGATGGCGTGGACGATGAAACTACTACGACGACCTTGAAGGACATGATCTCAAATATGACACCGAAGAAAAGCCATCTGAAAAGCCGAAAGAGCCTGCACGTGGGCAGTGCTAAGGGACTCCTCGGGAAGCGCCCAGCCGAACTCGACGATGAAGATGAATTTGAGGACAGGGATGGAATTAAGAGACTCAAAGGTCACCAAAGCAGTCCCGTCAAGAACGTCCGGCTGCACGCGCCGCCCACGAAAGAAGAGACAACTGGCCACTTGACCCGGTCAGCTGCAAAGCCTGTTGATGAGGCCACGTTTATCACCACGACGCCTACACTAAGGCTCTCGGCCCAGAAGGGGTCGAAAGGCCCATCCTCTTTCGACGGCAAAGCGGGCAAGGCACGCTTCAAGGATGTACAATCCGACGAGCCCACAGGCACCTTCAGCTTTGATGACGCTCCTGCGATGGCTGACCCCGAAGCCGAAGGGGAACACGATGACGGGGAGAGAATTCAGCTGCAAGACTTCCTAAACATGACGAGCATTCGGTTCATGGAGCTGACGACGACAAAACGACGACACACCCAAGCGCCTACGATACAAAAAGGTTTCTTCCCGGAAAAGGAGGATATTTCGTTGGAGAGATGCGTGGTAGCTGGCGTTTGCACTGTCCCGATGCTCGAGTTGTATCAGCATGTGAGTGCACGTTCGGACCCTTGGCGATGACGAATGCTAATCTTTACAAGTCTTGCCGAGAGTTGAAGAAATACATTTCGGAAGGAAGAAGAGTTGTGCGTGGGATTGAGACGGACACTCTGGAAGAGAACCCGCCGCTCTTCCGCGAATACATGTCGGCAACACCCGAGTTCAAGGCGTTGATGGACAACCAGTTCAAGAACGTCAAGACGCATGCGCGATTGATAAGCAAGAACATGTGGTACGATTGGCGCACGCAGCTCCAGGTCGGTCTCAAACAGGGCCTGATAAGCCATGCGGACGGAATGATAGAGGATGAGAAGCTTCTGCGTAAGCAGCAAGCACTGCTCGATTCTGTCCTGCCAGACATGGTGAAGAGATTGCAGTCTCTCGAGCTTGAACGCGATAACCTCGAGTCTGTGGCTCAAGAGCTGGCAGACTGTGACCCTGATGACCTTCAGGCTGCTCGAGCTGAGCTTACGGAAGTCGATTCTGACATTCAAGTGAAAATGTGGAAGATCGATGACCTTCGTCAGCAATTGACACAAACTGAGTCGAGCATTGGTGAAGTGTCGCAGAGAAAAGAGCAATGCATCGGCGAGATTGGAGAAGCAGAGAGAGTCCGAGAGGAATGCAGAGGATGGACTTCTAAGGAAATCAGTTCTCTCAAAGGTCAGTGCCACCCACCATCACCATCTGCTCGTCTTGTCTATCGTGATGTCTAACAGTGCCACAGCCCGGGCCGATGAGCTCGAGGAGAAGCACGGCTGGGCCATCACGGGCATTGCTGACACGACAATCTCCATGACGTACCGACGCGAAGTCGAGCTGGTGTTCGACATGTCGTCGTTCCAGGGCCAAGCCGGAGCGGCCACGGACTCGCGCATTGACCTGTGGTACATTGCGGCCAATCGGGAGCGCAGCCCGCAGCCGGCGTCGCCCGAAAGGGAATTCTTCGTGCAGTGTATCCGGGATCACGTGCGCGCCATGGGCCGGCCCCACACGTCGCCCCACACCAACGTCCACATCATGCTGGACGCCGTTAGCGCCGCGTGGCAGAAGGCCAATCACGTCGTAGAGAACGTGCGGCTCTTGAACTGCACCTTTCCGACCAACGTCACCCGGACCTCGGATTCCTCCATCGCCGTCTCTGCCACGCTCCTCCTGTCTACCCTGGAGACCAAAGTCGTGATCGTGCTCGGCTTGCGTGGGCAGAGCTCGCGGGATGGTGTGCACTTCTCCGTTGTCCCGCAGGCGCAGGTCGTGTACGGGGAGCACTTCAAGGTCGAGAAGCTTGTCGACTATCTGGCCACTCGCATCGGGGACGGAGTTGTCACAAAACAGGAGAATGGCGAGGTCGAGTCTTGGAGCGATGTTATTGTCGAATTGCATGAGAGACTGTCGGCCAGGACGAAGAAGTGAGATGGGAGCTTGGATTGTTCGTTGTCGCCCGTGCTGTAGTAAGATTTGATGACATGACTTATGCCTGGACGTTGAATTTGGCGCTGTAGTTGATCAGCAACACTCAGGAGGCGTTTGATCGTGCTGTCAGTTAATATACCACTGTTTCTGTCAGATGCTCCTATTTGCTTCACTATCCCCCTGTCGTGAAGTGATCATTGCTCTGTGGCATCTTGTTTTTCCTCATTATATGTATCCCAATTTCTGCGTTGAACTTCAGGAATGCAGCTTTGAAGCCTGCTGTCTGCGTCTGAATCATGGGATATTTCTTGCTTTGATCAGTGTGAAATTCAAGTGTATTGCTAGAGGTAATGTAACTATGCTATAAGCGTCTGGGCACAATGTAAGGGGGCAGCTCAATGGTGCGTACTTATAAAATACTTCTGTCGTGAACCGACTATCCAATAACTATATGCTCCAGTCAAGATGTGTACAGGTGACTCAAGAAGCAAATCAAGGCAAGTAAAGTGAATACATCATTGCTCGGGGCGCTTGCACAGGGTTGGTAGCAGAGGGCGAGATTCTCTGCTCTCTTGAAAATGGCCAGCGCGTCAAGATCGCAGCCCTACTCGTCTATGCAAGATACGTGATGAGTGTGGACACTGCGTTAGGCTCAGTTATGCAGCACCTGCAGGAAAACTTCGCCAGACTTTTGTGCGGGTGGATACTCGAGGTGATGATTTTCTGGTTGCCTCAGGAATCAACGGACTGGGTACCGGAATACCCTCATAGTGGATCAGTGTTCATTAGACAGGACGGTACGCGTTAGGATTACGTGAACATGCACAGGATCAAGAAGTAGGGCACTGCTTGGGTATTAGACGTATGCATGGTGAGGTCGTCCCGGTTGACTTGGTGGAGGAGCCGTGGGTCCTGATACAGATACATAATCACAAGTACTTCACTGCAACGCGAGGAGACCTTCAGCCATGGCATCAGGTGCAGTGGATACTTCTCCGTGATGTTCACCTCAGGTATCTATGAGCAAAGCGGGGGTCAATTGTTGATGGAGGGGAGGGGGCTGGTCTATAGGGGGCTTACGGGTGGTCGCCCCTCTGGCAACCAGTATGGCATCCCCTACCTAAGCGAGCTTCACTAAGTCTTTCCTCAGGCAACACTGACTGACCTCGCCGGCGCCCCGCAGGCGGTGAAGCCCAAAAAGTTTACTGCCGCTTTCTGCCCAGCTGGTATTTAATAAATCTCTGCCACCCACAATTCTGCCTCTCTTTCCTTTCCTTCTCCAGACTCGATCGCCAGCCAATACTTGTATTGCCTCACTATCGATTCGCCCCGCGCCCACGAACTCTGTTCTCAAGATCATTATATCATCTTCGTCTTCACAGTCGTCGTATTTCTCCATCTTAAGAACTTCGTTCCACTCAATCACTGCGCACCCGGATTTCATCGCTTACCAAGATGTCATCCCAAACCACCGCCTCCACCATCGCCATCGGGGCACAGCACGCCTGGCTGCTGTTCATCACCATGGCCTGCTTCGGTTCCTTCTTCTACTGGCAGAACCTCTCTCCCTACGTCCCCTCTGTTGTCGGCACCGGCGTCACCATCTACTTGTTCTGCGTACACTGCGTCCTCGGTCTCTTCGCCCTGTTCTTCGTCCTCCTGAACTACACCCTCTCGCATCGCCTCATGGCAGGTTGCTTAGGCACCCTGACCTGTGGGATCACAGCACTGTTCGCCTACACCGACGTCGGTGGATGGTGGGCGCTCGCCGGGCTCTGGCACATTTACCAGATCTACTGGGATGGGGCTTGGGGTCTTGTGTATTGGCCGTTGACGTGGGGGTTGTTCTTCTACCTCATGGCCTTCTTCAGATCACCAGGGACACAACGGGAACTCGAGAAGCACCGAGTACAGCATCCTCCGATTCCGTGACGCCAGATCTTGCCAGCGAAGGTGTTGTGGCCGCCGGTCGATCTCGACTTTGCATCGCCGATTGTTGCCGCTCTCTCGTTCCTCTACTTCCAACCGATCATCGTCCCCATCCCTGCATAGTTCGCAGAGACCAGGTTCTTTCGATTCTGCCCCTGGAACTGGCAAAAGGCCAAGCAGTTTGTGAAGGCTCTCGCTTGGCGCTGTCGCATCCGCCCCGCCTTCCTCCTACCCGATGCCGTCATCCATCGGGAGCACCAGCAGAAGCAAGAGCAGAAGAGACTCGATGCAATCAAACGCGAGGAGCAGCAAGCCGCCGACGAACGTGTACGAGACGCACTGGAGCGACGCGAGCGGATTAAGGCACAGAAGGCCGAGAGAGATCGCCGTGACCTCGAGCGACTCCAGGCGATGCAAGCACAGGATATCTCGCGGGCCCGTTCTCGCGCCGAGCGAGAACGCGAGCAGCAGCGCCAGCGGAAAAAGAACGCCTACTACAAGAAGTTCGACATAGATTTCCCTCGTGACCGCACTGGTGCGATCATCGAGGTGATCGCCGACGGCATCATCGAGACACGAAAGCACGAGAAGAAGCGGATCCAGCAGCAGACCAAGATGATCGACTCCCTTCCCGCCGCCTAACGCCGCAAGAAGATGGACGAGTTCCTGGATTCTGCCCGTGCCCCTGTTCCTTGGGTTGTTTCTGCGCCTGTCTTATCGGTTGTTCCTGCGCCTGTCCTGTCTGTCGTCTCCGCCACGCAGTCGGTTCTGGCTCCGGCTCCAGCTCAGGCCCCGCAGACAGTATTCATCCCGGCCTCGTTCGCGCTCTTCCCCGCTCCGCAGGACGGCGGTGCCTCGGCTCCGTTCGTGCCGAGTGACGTGAACGCCTGGATCGATGACCCGATGGATGTCGACGAGCCTTCCGATGACGAGCCTTTAGAGATGAGCATCGACGCTGCCTCTTCTCCGTCCGTCTCCGTCTCCGCCCCGGCTCCGGTCGCCTCTCTTCCGTCTGTCTCCGCCAAGGCCCCGGCTCCGACTTCTTTCACGACGCCGCAGCCGAAGCCGAAGGAACAGGTCGAGCTACCATCGCCGGTTAAGCGGACTTCGCCGTTCTCTCGTGTCGCCTCTCCTCCGTCTGTTCCGTCTACGCTGCCCCAGACTCCCTCGAAGAGCGCACATATCCCCTCTGGGTCGTCCGTTTCTGGTCTTGGCAGTGGCCGCACGAAGAAGGAGAGGATCCAGAATGGGTTGTTGTCGCCGTCCCCTGCCCCGGCTCCCACTACGCCCGCGCCTCCTACCACGCCCGCGCAGCCGGCCAAGCCGACGCTTACGTGGCCTAAGACGAAGGAAACCCCGGCTCTGGACTCGTCATTCTCTTCCATCGATCCTTCTCCGCCTGCCTTCTCCGCGTCCGTGCCGTGGTTTGCTCATGCTCCGCCTGTTACTTTTGCTCCGCGTTTTGCTCCGCGAGTTACTCCTCCTCCGTCCGTCACCAAGGCTCCGGCCAAGGCAAGGACGGTGCTCACGCTCGCGCAGTACAAGGCCAAGCAAGTTGAGAAAGCCGGCCGTGTGTTCGGTGGCTCGTCTTCGCACTCGACGTTCGCTCCTACCACGCCTTCTGCGTTGGCGACCGCCCCGCCCGTGACGGCAGCACCCGAGCCCGAAGTCGACAGCAGGAGGTGGTAGAGCAGACTCGGCAGTGGTCCGCGCAGCAGCAGCAGCCATCGGTCCCGCAGCCGCCGCCGCACCTGTCGCATCACGTGTCGCGGCCCTTCTTCACACCGCAGCCGCAGCCGCAACCGGGCACTTCGCAGCAGCCCACGGCGCCCGCTCCTGAACGGATCGCGGGCGTTACGCGCGAGGACATCTACCTGCGATTCCGAAGCGAGGGTGAGAATGAAGCCGATTCTGAGATCATGACTGAGGATACATGGGCCATACTGTTAAGAGACTACTACAGAGGACAAGGGACGCAGTAGGAAGAGAGTCTTCCAATGGTCTTTCGCGCACGTCGCTCGGTTTTGGCTCCAGGTTCATCTGTCTCGGTTTTCTCTCCTTCGGTCCCCTTTCCTTCCTAACCATACCACATATTTCACAGGACCAGTCGATCGTTTCCCGTCATTCTTCCTGAACCCACCCTGGGGGACGGACCACCAAGAATGCGGGAATGATCCGGTCGTCCGCTGTTCGTTCTCATCAGAACTTACACGTGGCGTCGGGTTGCCCAAGTCCACCTTGTTGGAGGCGGGCCGTCGGCTGGTCGCTATTCTCGATTGCTGATCTGGATCCCCGAGTCGGAACCTCGTACTTGCGCGGGTGTCTCCAGGAAGGGTATAGAATGCATGTCGAGATTAGCCGCCCACCGCTATACATGATTTCCTCCTACTAATGTCTCCGAGTACCACTGTTTTCTTTCCGATTCTTCGTCGCGCTTTGCTTCGAACCAGCCCCGGATGTTGAACGGAAGCGCTCTAGCCGAAGTTGACCGGGTGTCTGGCGAGGGCCGGCAGGCAAGTTTTGGGGCAGCCTGGGAAAGGCTGACTGAGGGAAATCGCTCCCGTTGATCCTGTTGAACCCCCCTGCGGGCGGGGTGAAGGGGGAGGGGGCATGCTCTGAAGATCCTGATTGAACCCCCTTGTGGGGTGAAGGGGGAGGAGCGGCGGTGTCGGATAGTCTCTCGCTGGCTTCGGCTGGTGTTTGGCAGTTATTTGTTAGGCGGATGGTGTTGTTCTGAGTCATTCCGAGAGGTCATTGACCAGGAGGATTGCGAGGACTTTGCCACTGTGAAAGGTATCGAGTGACCATGGTTCGCCCAGGCACTTATATTTGTTGGATGCAGTGAATTCGTTCCGGTCCAGGGTGCATGAGGTTTAATCCCAACCCAAGGTGGGAGTGGTGTTGACTCTCGCCTATTTCATATATCGACAACGTCTCGTTTGCGGTCTTGTTCTCGCCGTCCTTCGAGCACGACATACTCTATATGGACAATGACTCGTCTGGTCTTGTTCTCGCCAGCCATCGAGTGCGCACTCTCCCCTCAATGACAACGCTTGTCTGGTCATGTTTCTCGCCAGCACTCGAGCACCCCACACACACAGCGACAAAGCTCGTCCAGTCTTGTTCTCGCCGGCCTTCGAGTCTCCTTGCTTCCAATTGTCATTGTTTGAGTATATTGTTTGATTATTGTACGACCACTGTCGGATTACACCTGTCGGAGTACTTGTCGGATTACTGTCACACTATCGTTGTCGGACTACATGCGGAATCTCAGACGACACGGCCAGTCTCGAGTCTCTGAGTATGGCGTCAGAACATTCTACCGTGGACATGTGCTGCAGCTCCTTGTATCACTTTTACGGGAGGCAACTAGCGGATATCCTGTCGGTCACAGTCTGGCATGTTCCCCGCGCCTCGTGAAAGAATCTCGGTATGGTATGTCCTGACCCCTTTTTGCCCCTTCCTGTGTACGTGTACTGACCTTCTTCACAGTCGTGGCAGAGCTTTTGATCCTGCTCGCGATATGGGGTGAAAATTCAACCATACTCCTTCGAGCGCGAGAAGCTGGACTTCATTGAGAGAATGACCCCATCGATGGGCTTCGCCACAGCCACCGCAAGCTGGACTTCATTCAGAGAATGCCCTCCATCGATGGACTTCGCCACTATTGCCTCAAGCTTGAGTATGTACACCTTGCGGACTCGCACAACGCCAGCAGCCTAGCTAATCGATTTACAGCGCCGATAAGATTGTCGACGGATGTCAGGTGATGACGGCCTTCGGACCGTAGCAATGACTCTGCATGATGGGACGACTTTCATTTGTCTTGTGGTATAAGCACGCGCGATGATGCTTATGCCACAACTTCTACAGGCGGAATAAGCACGATGCACACTGCTTATACGACTTTTCACTTTCGGCACGAGCACGATTCACGATGCCTCTGCTTCAACAAGGAACACAAAAAAAAAAAACCCTCGAAAACCAAGAAGAAAGGAAAGGGGGAGAGGTGGAGGGGGGGAGACCGAAAAAGGTCAGACCCAGGACCACCAGAAACACTGAAGAGGAAAGAAAAAGACTTCCGTCCACACACAAACACAGATTCGAGCTGCGCTGTCGCATTGAACCATTACGAACTCCACACCTTGAACCAGCTATGGGCCGACGGCAAGCTGTTGCATCGCCATTTCGATGCTATAGCAGCCACTCGTCTCAGGTCATGAATTGGCCAGAAAGAAGGTCATAGATTGGCCCGGAAGAAGGTCATAAATTGACCAAGAGGAAGGTCATAAATTGGCCAGGATGTTGTTGTTGTTGTTGTAGCATTTAACGCCGGGGGGACTGCCGCGTAGCGGCGTCAACCAGGGGCTCCAAGAGGCCGCTCAGGCGTGCTAGGCTAGGTCTTCTATGTACATACACTGCTCATCTAGCAGGTCAAGTCCGTAAACAGCCACCACACTTAAGCGGCGGATCACACCGTGTCCCCCCTCCTCCGGGTGAGGGGAAGTATCGGCTGGGGTCCCAAATGTTCAGTTTTCAGGGCGTAACACCAGGTTCAGTGCTCTTAGAGCTTACAGTAGGTGCTGTGGCATGCCGCAGTGGTTCTTACACGCCCTGTGAGACATTAAAAAGGAAAGATAGAAAGATAAAGCCCCCAGACGCCGTAACAGAAGGAAAGAGTGAGTATGTCCTCAGCGAGGAGGGCAGATATTGCCGTAGAAGTCGGTAGCTACGAGTAGGTCTATGTACTCCTGTGGGGTAGTCGTAAGTTCGTTTAGATACTCGAGCCTGGCTCCGAGCTCCGGCCGGGATGCCGGGGCCCTCTGTTGAATAGGAGCCGGAGATAGACACCGGAAGATCTCCAGTGGGGCAGAGATGCACAGGGCATCTGACCCACCAAGAAGACAGATGATCAATCTCTGCACACTGAAGAAGCAGAGCAGAACAATCAATAGAATCAATCGATATCCGTGTATTCAACACCCTCGGCCAGACCATGTACCGTGCCAAAGTCTTCCGGCAGTGGATGAAGTGCGTCGGAGTCTTGCTCCGGCCGCACGAGCAGTCGAGGACGACGTCCTGATGTTTGAACTTGACATGATACCAAGAGAAGTCGCCGTGCCCTGAACAGATAGCGAGGAAGCGGTGTAATAACGGCCTATTAAGTACCTGTAGCTCCTCGTGACAGTGCAGTTTGTACTTCAGGTCCCAGTATTTATAGCAGGCCGATAGCTTAATCTGGGCCTTGGTCCACCACATGTCACGCGAGACTTCGAGTTTAAGTCTCGCCTCTGCTTTAATGCCGTATGCCGTCGGCATACAGTCGGAGTCGACATTAGAAAGCTTGAGCCGGCCTTAGCCAGCTTGTCTGCCAGTTCATTGCCCTCAATGGCGCAATGCCCCGGGCACCACTTAACGTTGACATTACGGACTTCAGCCTCGGCGTAGAATTTCAGGTAGGCCCATTGGCAGGACACCGCGGCATTGCCGCGGAGCCCCCAGATCGCTCCTGTATTGTTCACGCACACCCAGATCCAGCGCTGACTAAGCTCTGGGGGTGACTTGACCACGTGCTGAAGTCCCTTCCAGGCTCCGAGCACTTCTGCATCAAACACGATAGAACACGGGTCTAGGCGACCCTTGCCAGTGGCGAGCAAGCGCCCGCCCTGATAGATCGCATAGCCGTATCCGACGTGCATCCGTTCCTTTGAGCCGTCTAAGAAGACCATCACGTCATGTAGTGGCAGAGCCTCAAACCAGGTCTTGAAGTTCTTGGCAGCCTGTTCCTTGTCGATACCTCCGGTTGGATTGATCCTACAGCCAGGCATAAAGCGTAGTGGCACCAGTAAGGACCGCTGTACAGGGGATAGCAAGCAAGCTACTAGCTGTAATTTGGTTTTAGGGTGTTGAAAGCCGCCTGTATCATGGCCCTGTATAATCGCCGGGAATTGGATTCGCTTGATAAAAGAATGCTTCTTATTTATAGTCCGTAGCCTGAAAACAAACCGCCATAGCGCTGTGTTAAGCGCCGACTCTGCCGTGGGGAGGCCAGCATCCCTGAAAATGACATTGTTCGGTGTGGTCCGCCAGCACGGCAGTGCCGCCCGTGCCACCATCATGATAGATCTCTGCAGGGTGTTAATATGCCATCCTACACCAGTACTAACTTTAGGCTTGCCTGTCTGTGACTGGTTGCGTGGCGGCTTCTCCTGTCTGCCGTAATAGACTTCTGACCCGTATAGCGCCATGAGGAGGACACAGGTAATCACAAATTTCCGTAGTCCGGATGCCAGGGGTCTGTACTTGGTGTTGGCTAGGTTTCGTATATGCCGGGATAACTGCATAATTTTGCCAGCACGTTCCTGAACATGTCGTTTGAGAGTGAATTTCCAATCAATCCAAACCCCTAGCTAGCGTAGTGCTGGCTCCTTTCCGCTACCCTCGGGTTCTTGGACAGGGTCGATAATGAGACGGTCACCTACCACCAGAGAGGGGTTAGAGGTATCTTGGCTTCTGGTGATATGAACCAGCTCGTACTTCTCAGGAGCAAAGAAGACCTTGTTCTCGTCTCCCCACTGCATGACCTGCTTAAGGTTATCTGCTAGTATCTCAGCGTTCTGCTGTAGTGACTTTGATACCCTGCAGAGGGAGAGATCGTCGGCGTACCTGAAACGGAGCTCCGGGTCTTGTAACAGAAGCTCTGCCAGGTACAGCATGTAGAGGACTGGGGACGACGGAGAGCGCTGGAGGGTGCCACACTTAATGTTCTTGAAGTCTGTAGAGACACGTTCAAGCCGGACTTTGGCCCTCCGCTTTTTAAGAAAGGACTTAACCAGTTCAAGGCAGGCTAGGGGCCAGCCTTACTTCTGCATGCGTTCCAGCAGCCGGCGCACTAAAAGCGCGTCAAATGCACCCTGTATGTCAACTGTGATGAGAGAGACCTTGAGTCCCTTAGCAAATGCTGCTTCAACCTCGTGGGCGA